CTTGGGTGAATAAAAGGAATAAATAGAGCAATGGACTTTAGAAGAGGTTTCTCTCTCTAAACTTGAGGCCTCCCAGGGACTCGACCAGTAAATTTCTCCTACTGCCAGAACAGAGGTAGAGATGCCTGACTCAATTTGAGTCTATTCTAAAACAGCAGACAACTTTCAGATGACCTTGAAGGGACGAATCAGACTTCAAAAGCCAGCATTTCCTCACCCATTGTACTTAGCAGCTGATAATGAACGTGTACCCTAAAGGCCACCATTCTCTGCATGTGGCAAACAGTGTCTCTGAGGGGCAGCAGTCACAGTCATCTGCTGAGATGAGATCAAACAAGCTGAATAAAGGCCACTTGCTGACCGGTGGGCAAGGCTGAGACACAAATAAATAATGCTGTCCCCACTGGCGATCAGGCACATACATAGAGGTGCTGCCTTTTCTCCTGTACCTGCAGAATTCCTCCCTTCTAAACCCAGCCCTACAGCCAGGAGGAGTGGGTTAAAAATAAAGCCAATTGGTATGAACAATCTGCTTATCTAGCCTAACAAAAGCAGACCATTTCTCAGTGTTATCTAGTGAAGACCTCTTTTGCCACAGGGCGCTGGCTAAGAACATTATCCAAGCCTACTGAAATGAAACACAAAATATCTTCAGGGACACCGTCCAGAGGAGCAAAACTTATTAAAATTAATGATTCAGTGTGTATGCCTCTCTCCCATTAGGAGGAGATTCCGTTTCCTGAAATCAGACTATCCTGTTCTTCCCTGAAGATACTTAAATAGACTGATACAAATCTGACAGCATCCCTAATTACAGTGGGAAATGCATTACAAAACGTGCACGCAGGGAAATTCAGTTGCATAAGGTGCAGGTGCCTGCAGCATCACTCACGGGAGCAGAGATCTCCACGGCTGAACAGCCCCTCTGAGCACTCCGAGAGGCATCTGCCTTCCAGCAGGACGTGGGTGGAGAGACAAGCTGTACAGTCCTGAGAGGTGTTCCCCAGGCAGCCAGCACAGGAGGAGTGGCACTCTGCAAGGAAGGGAGAAACAAGAGGATGGAGAGAGAAGGATCAGGTCTCGTTTACCTTGGTTGTTCCTTTCCCAGAGTGGAGCTAGACTGCCTTCTCCCCAGTGATGAGAGGAAGGTATTTCCTTTACAGGATTCCCTGCTTGTGAGAGGTAGACAGGGCAGGAGTACAAAGGCTGTATAGCACGCTTCTCCAAGATGAGAAGCAACCACAGATAGCTGCATATGTCTCTCAATCACAGCAAGTTCCTAAATCCTTTGGTCACAAATGGTAGGCAGAGTATATTTTCCCCCAGAGTACTAATATATGCCCCATTCTGAAAGTTACTGAGTTTAGACATTCCTGACTGCCATAAAGCAAACACAGGGGCTCAAAGCACGTCAGAACCAAACATCACACAAGATCACCCCGGACACTTAAAACCCAGCACAGCCCTG